GTTTCCAATGGTATTTTTAAATGTAGATATATCTGGAATCCCCTTAATCAGTTAATTGCACTTGTGCTTTGCCATAATTGGTATTTTTCCCATCATTTCATACCATGCAAAAGGTTATTCCGTACCTATATGGAAGAGACACAATTACATTTGGCTAATGGGTGGAGATACTGTCCACTCTGCCACTGAGCATCCTGGTAGAGTTGAGATCTACTGCACCATTGAGGTAGTAATGGCTATAATAGTAGTGCATCCGCTCCATTTCAGTGTGCTGGCACACCGCATAACACCTAACGGCGAGGACTGGGAAGGCTGTTTAAATGGAGTGTAATCTGTCAGCCAGCTGCAGCGACCACATTATTATCTGCTGACAAAACAAAAAACATTGTCGGCCTACAGGGCAAAAGCCATGGTTGCTTTCCTAGATGGAAAATAATTGTCTTTATGGACAGTAATGTTCACAGTGTGATTTTATATAAGCCTGACTGACATTCATCAGTCTTATCTTATCAGTCTCCCTTGATGTGTTTGTGTGGGCCGTGTGGTCATGGTAACGTTAACGCTGCTCTCGCTGGACCTGAGAGGCTGATCCGGTGGATCTGCCGGCTATGTTAAGGAGGAGTTCTCTGTACCCCTGAACCCTTTATGTTGGGTATTAGATAGTATCATCTAAAGGGGCACAGGTGGAACCTTTATAAAAGGCTCAACCAGGAACCAAAAAGGGGTTTTCCTGTGGGACAAGCCGAAGAACCCTGTATGGTTCTAGTAAGCACCTTTATTTCTATGAGTGTATATTAAAAATCAGAAGTTATGAACATAAACATGACCAGAATTTGAGTAGAGGCTTTAATCTAACAGAAGCAACTGGGCTATTTTTTTAGCATAGGACACATGAGAGCGATGTAATTACTAATCTGACATTTTACCTGCTAACTCTGGAGCTGCTGGACAAGAAAGAGGACTGCCGGATGTATGAACTCAGGGAGCCTTGAATTTGATTGAGTGCATCTTCAATATTTGGGACATTTCTTCTATAAACTAAAACACCAAAAAGAAAAACAGACAAAGTGAAATGTGTCAAGACTGCTGTGCGTTATTTCTCAGGGTCTAAGAGTCATGTGTGAGCTTCATCACTAACATTGCCTGTGTCTTTGAGAAGGAGGTAGATGGGCTCTTTGGAAGCGCTCAGTTGCATCCTGCACTTGCTGTCTGCGCTGTTTCAGGATGCTCTCGATCAGTCTTTGCTCCTGCACGTCCCACTGCTTCCTCTTTTCCTCCAGCGCCCTGAGCCATGAAGAAGAGCGGAGCATGAACCTGAGGCATTTTAATCAATTAAATGTAGACAGGCCGTGTTTTAGATTCAGAAACCCGAGTCTGTTCATTGAGATATGTTTTCAACAGTCATTAATAAATTAAAGCCACCACTCACTACTGGGTTCACAGAGGAAGCCAATATAACCTCAACAGGGTCAAACAAGTGCAGCATTAATGCTTTGTTCTTTTTTTTTAACAGGCAAAATGGTAATCACTGTCGACAAGAGCAGAGTACATTTTAAAACTGTGTTGAGAGCCAAAGCAAACAGTAGTGCAAGCTCCTAGTCAACATAAACCTGTTCTATTAAAAAAATCTTCATCATCTTATGTTCATTATGTAATGTAACGTTTATAAAGGTATCTTACTGAAGCTGCAATGTTTGGAACGCCAACATTGTGAGTAATATGACATTTAATTTGAGACAGATAAAGTAAACACACTCCATGAAGAGGTGTTACATTAGTCCTTCTAATTTAAATATACAAACTGCAAACTTATACAACATTTTTAGCATGTTGCAAAAATTAATCTTCATTTTCAATGTCAAATCTTTTTATTTTCTGCTTATTTGATACAATAAAAATGCATGAAACAAATAATCAATTGCATTTGATATTGATTTATAAACTCTGATAGTCTATAAACGTTTGATTAGGTAATAAAGTTTTCATTCACAGCCGAGTTGTTTGTTGGATATTGCTTTCTAAGATTACCTCACGTAATGTGTCGACCTCCTTTAATATGTCCCCCCTTTTAAAGAGCAAACATTTTTTGTATGTTTTTCATGCTCAGACATGTGATAAGCTATTTAACTGTTGACTTACATTATGTTTCTGATTAAAAATGATCACCTGCCTGTGTGAAATCTGACTCTGACATTGCACAATTGCACAATAAATCTAACCTGCACCTACAGCTATCCTCACATTCACCCACACTTACTTTTAGCCTCTGCTGATCTACGGAAACACCAATTTAGACAGTTATTAATATCTGTGAGGGATTTGAGCCTCACATGGTGCTTAACTTGGCAGCTTTAGTTGTCAGAGAGGTGACGCTTCAGTCGCTTCTCTGGCTTATAGTTACCTTCTGGGCTAACAGATCTATTTCCAGGTCTAGACTGCAAAATCCTGTCAACACTATCCATCCCTCAAAGGTGCTAAGCTCAGGACAGAACCATCAGCTGCCTGTCCAGGAGGTGCATCGTGCATCAGCAAATCTGCTTCCAGGAAATTCTGGAAGATGCTGCTTTTGACTTACAAGGAACTGTCTCACTGCAGACTGCAGTTAAAACTGTGGGTACATCCTATTAGTGCTGAAATGAAAATAACAATACAGAAGTGTGATTCACTAAAACTGACTTCCTGCGTCGGTTTGTCTCCAGTGTGAACTTGCGAGCTCGGGATCTGCATATTTTCTGCTTTTCCACCAAAAGCTGTTTCTCATCTTCGAGACCTCCATTAGCTCCCAGCCTCGAGTTTCTGGAAGGGAGCAGCTGAGGAGAGCAGTTTGAAATGGCAGAGTAGATACAGCACCTGAACGCAACATTTGAATTGAGTGAATGAAAACTGAATGAAATTATGCAGGCTGGTTGTTTACGTTTTGTCATTAGAGTGGTTCACATGTCAACAGCATCTCTACATCAACACAGGTGCAGCTAAGTTTCATGATACACGTTTCTATAATAACTCTACAGTGTAAATAAGTGAACATTCAAAGGATACGAGTGGTAGAAGAAGTCGCCCTGACCAGCTTGCATCCTCCGAGGCTGCTGGTCCTTGTTGACACCGGTCAGACATACAGGTTCAGCTCCTTGTTAAGCCGCTAGCTGCTAACTTGGCTTGTTGGGTCCTTTTTAAGCTAACGTCCACGGTGCCTCGTTCAAACTCCTTCAACCGTTTTCAGGGCGAAGACAAACTTCTAAATTAAATGTACGAATCCACATGGCAGCGACTTTATCCCGGTTAATGGCAGCTTCTTTGCTCGTTTTTAAAAGTATGAAATAATTCAGCTAAGTTGTCACCGCTTCACCTGAGCCTGTCTGTGTACAGTCCCTCCATGATAGCAACCGAGGACGCATTTCCTTGACAACGGGGACTGTCGGACACGCGCGGTGTCCAGCAGAGGGCTCACGCTCTGTACGTGCATGCTGCCTTCAGGTACTCCTGGGAGTGTCGTAATGTGTACATGTAGCCTAAACAGGGTAAGGATGAAAACAAAAAGCTAAATAAAACAAAATAAAAATAAATAAGTTAAGTGAAAGAAGGTGGATATAAATTGATACTAATAGGTTCATACGATGTATAATATGGTTTTGATTTTAGTTTTCCTTTCCCTCCTTATATTTTCCTACCATTATTATTATTATTATTATTATTAGTATTATTATTTTGTTACTAT